AGGGCTGGAATTCCAGCTGGAAACAGGGATGGAATTCCAGCTGGAAATAGGGATGAGGTTCCAGCTGGGAATGGGGATGGAATTCCAAGTGGAAATGGAGATGGAATTCCAAGTGGAAACAGGGATGAAGTTCCAGCTGGAATTCCAACTGGAAACACGGACGGAATCCCAGCTGGAATTCCAACTGGAAACACGGACGGAATCCCAGCTGGAAACACAGACAGAATCCCAGCTGGAATTCCAGCTGGAAACAGGGATGGAATTCCAGCTGGAAATAGGGATGGAATTCCAGCTGGAAACACGGACAGAATCCCAGCTGGAATTCCAGCTGGAAACACGGACGGAATCCCAGCTGGAAACAGGGATGGAATCCCAGCTGGAATTCCAGCTGGAAACAGGGATGAAGTTCCAGCTGGAAACACGGACGGAATCCCAGCTGGAATTCCAGCTGGAAACAGGGATGGAATTCCAGCTGGAAATAGGGATGAGGTTCCAGCTGGGAATGGGGATGGAATTCCAAGTGGAAATGGAGATGGAATTCCAAATGGAAACAGGGATGAAGTTCCAGCTGGGAATGGAGATGGAATTCCAGATTTAAACGTGGATGGAATTCCAGCTGGGAATGGGGATGGCATTCCAAGTGGAAATGGAGATGGAATTCCAAGTGGAAACAGGGATGAAGTTCCAGCTGGAATTCCAACTGGAAACACAGACAGAATCCCAGCTGGAATTCCAGCTGGAAACAGGGATGAAGTTCCAGCTGGAATTCCAACTGGAAACACGGACAGAATTCCAGCTGGAAACACGGACGGGATCCCATCTGGAATTCCAACTGGAAACACGGACAGAATCCCAGCTGGAAACAGGGATGGAATCCCATCTGGAATTCCAGCTGGAAACAGGGATGAAGTTCCAGCTGGAAACACGGACGGGATCCCATCTGGAATTCCATCTTTTCCGGCTGTTCCCGGTACCTGTTGTCGAAGTAGAAGAGGCCCTTGGCGGGGTCCACGCGGAGGAAGGTGGCCACGTCCTCGTAGTTGGGCAGGGTGGCGCTGAGCCCCACCAGCCGCACGTCCTCCTGCGTCATCTCGATGTTCCTGATGGCCCTGGCCACCAGGGACTCCAGCACGGGCCCGCGGTCGTCGTGGAGGAGGTGGATCTCATCCTGGGAAAACGGGAAAGTTCTGGAGGTTCTCCGTCCAAACCCCAGGTCCACCTTGAGGTTCTTCATCCAAACCCCAGATCCACCTTGAGCTTCTCCATCCAAACCCCAGATCCACCTTGAGCTTCTCCATCCAAACCCCAGATCCACCTTGAGGTTCTTCATCCAAACCCCAGATCCACCTTGAGCTTCTCCATCCAAGCCCCAGATCCACCTTGAGGTTCTGCATCCAAACCCCAGATCCACCTTGAGCTTCTCCATCCAAACCCCAGATCCACCTTGAGGAACCCCCTGAGCTTCTCCATCCCAAACCCCAGATCCAACTTGAGGAACCTCCTGAGGTTCTCCATCCCAAACCCCAGATCCACTTAGAGGAACTCCCTTGAGCTTCTCCACCCCAAACCCCAGGTCCACCTCGAGGATCCCTCATCAGATCCACCTTGAGGTTCTCCATCCCAAACCCCAGATCCACTTCAAAGAACCTCCTGAGGTTCTCCACCCCAAACCCCAGTTCCACCTCGAGGATCCCTCATCAGATCCACTTCGAGGAACCCCCTGAGCTTCTCCATCCCAAATCCCAGATCCAACTTGAGGAACCCCCTGAGCTTCTCTACCCAAACCCCAGGTCCACTTTGAGGATCCCTCATCAGATCCACCTTGAGGAACCCCCTGAGCTTCTCCACCCCAAACCCCAGGTCCACCTCGAGGATCCCTCATCAGATCCAACTTGAGGAACCCCCTGAGCTTCTCTACCCAAACCCCAGGTCCACTTTGAGGATCCCTCATCAGATCCACCTTGAGGTTCTCCATCCCAAACCCCAGATCCACTTCAAGGAACCTCCTGAGCTTCTCCACCCCAAACCCCAGGTCCACCTCGAGGATCCCTCATCAGATCCACCTTGAGGTTCTCCATCCCAAACCCCAGGTTCACCTTGAGGAGCCCTCATCAGATCCACCTTGAGGAGCTCCCTTGAGGTTCTCCACCCAAACCCCAGGTCCACCTTGAGGAACCCTCATCAGATCCACCTTGAGGAACACCTTGAGGTTCTCCACCCCAAACCCCAGGTCCACCTCGAGGAGCCCTCATCAGATCCACCTTGAGGTTCTCCATCCCAAACCCCAGGTCCACCTTGAGGAACCCTCATCAGATCCCCCCTGAGCTTCTCCACCCCAAACCCCAGGTCCACTTTGAGGAACCCTCATCAGATCCAACTTGAGGAACCCCCTGAGCTTCTCCACCCCAAACCCCAGGTCCACTTTGAGGAACCCTCATCAGATCCAACTTGAGGAACCCCCTGAGCTTCTCCACCCCAAACCCCAGGTCCACTTTGAGGAACCCTCATCAGATCCAACTTGAGGAACCCCCTGAGCTTCTCCACCCCAAACCCCAGGTCCACTTTGAGGAACCCTCATCAGATCCACCTTGAGGAACCCCCTGAGCTTCTCCACCCCAAACCCCAGGTCCACCTCGAGGAGCCCTCATCCCTCGGCCGCCCCCGTGCAGACGTGGCTCACCAGGATGACCAGCCGCACCAGCTGGGTGTAGGTTCTCTCTCCGCCCTTGCGGGTGATGATGTCCCACTTCTCGGGCGTGCACACGATGATCTGCGTGGCGCTGATCTCCTCCTTGCACAGCTGGTGGTCCCCGGTCAGCTCGGCCACCGTGATCCCGTAGGTGGCCAAACGCTGGAGAAGAACCCAGGGGATGAGCGTGGAGGGACCTTCCCGTGGAGGAACGATCCAGCACAGCTTCTCCTGGATCTCCAAGCCCTCAGTGATCCCAAAGCTTCCTCTGGATCCCATCAATGATCCCAAAGCTTCCTTTGGATCTGATCCCATCAGTGATCCCAAAGCTTCCTCTGGATCCCATCAGTGATCCCAAAGCTTCCTCTGGATCCCATCAGTGATCCCAAACCTTCCTCTGGATC